CCATCTAGCACAGCTGGGGAGTGGACATGGGAACTTATTATTAAATAGAGAAGGGCACGAATCAGAAAAACGGTGATTCATTTTCCTTCATGATTCATCAAATTCGACAAATCGTGAATTACAAATTTACATTTTTTTTCCTGGCAAACTGACAAATCAATTCATCAACTCATTTTTGAATTTTAATCCCTGCAAAATGGCTCCCAAAGCACCTAGAAACACCACATTTTCGGGGAAGCTTTCCCAGACTCTCCCCTACAAGCCCTGCACGTTTGGCGAAGTTTGGGCTTTGGATGTCTGAGTTATTCAACCACAAGGAGGGCCCCTCCAGGAAAGTTCCTCCCCACACCTAGAGATACCAAATCACAGAGAAGCTTCTACTGACTCTCCTGTACAATCTCTCCAAGTTCAGTCATCCAGGTTATACATCTACAAAGTGCATCCCCCACTAGGAAAGTGCCCTTTGTCAGCTGACTTGGGGGAAACAGTGCCTTGGGAGCCATTTGATAGTCAAACAAATTGGCAAATGAAAAATCACTAAAAATTCGTTGATGTGATTCATTGGGGGCATTGATTTGTACACATTCAAACTTGATGAATTAGTGATTTCTGAATGAATTTGGCAATTCATTTTTAAATTCATGCCCAACTGTATTATTATTCAGCTATGGCCTTTGTGGCCTGTAGATTTCTTTCCAGAGGTTTGTTTTCTTGTTTTGTTATTGTGTCAAGGGTGGGCTCTACAATGGAGGGCCATTCCTGTTATTATAAGGTGTGCATCTTTTAAAAAGTAAATGGTAGGAATCTGGATGGAGGGAACTTTTAACTCTTTGCCCCCATTACAGTCCTGGCTGCAAAGGCTTTACCTACTTTTTCGTTTTAAAGCGTGCTGTTTATATACCGCCCCATAGCGCTTCAAGCACTCTCTGGGCGGTTTACAATTATACAGGCTACACATTGACCCCCCCCCCAAGGCGAGCTGGGTACTCATTTTACTGACCTCAGAAGGATAGAAGGTTGATTCAACCTTGAGCCGCTACCTGGGATTAAACCCCAGGTAGTAAGCACAGTTTTGGCTGCAGTACAGCAGTTTAACCACTGTGCCACGAGGCTCTCTTGTAGAACTCTTTGTGCAATTGCTATTTGTTGAAATGGTCTGCCATGTTTGAGTTTGGTCCTAATATTAATCCAGTTGAAACAGAGAGGAAATAGCCAGAGAGAATTTCTGTCTGTCTTTGCAAGTACTGTACCTGTATTTCATGGTCTACTGCAGCATCTTGTAGCAGACCCTGAAATCTGTCCTTGTATTTTAAATCATGCTCTTTTCAGCTGGACATTTCAGAGATTCCATCTGGAACCTTCTCAGTACAAACCATGTGCTATACCCCCTGTGCTATGGCCAGTGGAATGAGGGCAGCAGAGTTGAAGCCTGGGACTTTCTAAGATGACGTCGCCTTCCAGCTCCTGCAAGTCTTTCCTGTTTCCTCAAACCTGGGCTGTGTTGTGCTTCCCCTCGCTGAGTCAGCTTCAGAAAAGGAGGAAGACCTCGTGCAGCTGGTAGAGTGTGGAATTCAGTGCCCCAGTGATATATGTTATTCCAGAAGCTTCAGGAGATAATATATTCAACAGGGAAATATTAGAATGAAGTAGATGTGAGGCTCATTTTGTTGCAAAGAGAGGTGCAGATTGAAGAAATTAGAGCAAAAGAACAGCCGGCATTTCAAAGCTCTCTAAGTGCTGACAGGAGACATCTGGATGCCAGAGAGAGGTTGGGTGGGAGCTATAACTGTGCTATCAGCAGAGCCTTTGTGGGAGACAACATGCAAATTCAGGTCTTGCTTGTCCAAAATACCCAAAATGGACCAACAATGGGTAACACCTCTGCCTACTCTCTGTTGAGAAGGTGACTGATCTATTTCAATGGGGCTATTGGCTTGATCCATTAACCATATCAACCTCCTACTTTTGTGGATTAAGGACTGGCTCCAGGCAGTGCAGACGCACTAAAATACAAGCTGTGCTACTTAGGAAAAATACAGTTTTGCAAGCTATCCCTGTTGCAATATAAAGTAGGTGAAGGTGGATTCATCTTGAATAGACAGTTAAGAGCATTAACTTTACAAAAGACCTGCTCCTCATTTGTTGATGCAGCTGCCTGCATTTTTGGATTCTGCTCAAGGTAGGGGAAAAGCTTTGAGGACTGTCATGATAAATGCCTACCCTTCCACATTTATGACTAGAACACAGGCCCTGGCTCAGGTTGGGTGTGGGAAAAGAAGGAATCAGACAATTCAAACATTCCAAGTTGGCATGCTTGCTATTGGAAATGGCTTCTCCCATTCTATCATAGAATGGGTGGGGGCAATTCAGGTGGAAAGAACCATCTTTTTTTGTTCTTTGACATGTTTGTATTTTAAATCAAAGCAGAGTCTCGATATTGCAGCACCTTGTGCTATGCTGTGAGCACAAACAGTCAAAAAACTGCACATGCCTAATTTCCACCCCCACTTTCATGTACACTGGGAAAACAATGCAATTCCCATCACCTGCTATAATGAAAAACCTATCTGTTCTGTTCCAAGTTTTATAAAGGGGAATGACCGCTTATAAACCAAACTTGGCTCTAGGCCTAAAGCTGTGGACTTTAATCACTGAAGCCAGTGGAACAAAAGCCATTTCTCCCTGATGACCTTGCTTTTGCAATTCCCTGACTGCATACGAAATTGGATTGGATGAGTAATATGGACCCAAATATGTTCCTGTTTACATATCTCATCTGAGGTCAAAGAAAGCCCTGTAAAATCCTCCATAACAAGGTGTCCACAAGAACAAATAACAAATTAGTTTACTTAATTTAAACATGCAGAACTATCATCTGGCATTTGAAACATGAGCATATTCTTTTGGACACTCTTTTACACATAGTAGACCAACATTTAATTTACGATATTGTTTCCATCAGTTTCAAAATATCGTATTTACAGCGCCATGTTTATTAACCGTATTTTGCTCTTCTGGATGGAAAATGTAATGAATTTGATGTGAATGTGTTCAGATTATTGCATTATTTCCCACCTCAGGCCATGATGATGCCTAGCCTCTAGCGGGAAACAAGAAATAATGCTAATTTAAGATATGGGTTTCAAAGCAGGCAGCATCTTCGCTGGACGGTGAGTTTTTGGAATGCATTTACCAGGTTTTAATGCGTTTCAATGGGTTTTTTATTTTCGCTTCACGATGTTTTCACTGTACAGCAATTTCGCTGGAACAAATTAACATCGTTAAGCGAGGCACCACTGTATAAATAATACCCAATGTAGTGTAGTAATTTGTAAAGTGATCATATGTCCTCTTTTAGGGAGAGCAGTCTTCCATTTGAAGGGCTGCCAGAAGACAATCCTCGGTGTGGAAGTGTCCTCTGTTAAAAAGTCCAAGTCTGATTTAAAACAGTGAGATCAGCAACCTGGAACTTGCCTAACAATACTTGGGCAGCAGACTCAGCAAGCAGACAAGTCACAGTCTTCCCAATCAAGCAATGTACTTCTGTTTAAATTACACATAGAATCATAGAATAATTGAGGGGTCTATAAGGTCATCTAGTTCAACCCCCTGCTTAATGCACGAGTCCAAATCAAAGCAGATTGGGCAGATGGTTCTCCAATTTTCTCTTGAATGCCTCCAGTGCTCAGCACCTGCCAAGGTAATTGGTTTCATTGTCACACTGCTCTAACCAATATCCTTCTAATTTTCAGCCAACTCAACTCTCATGCACACAGCTCTGCTCCCCCCTGCATGCACAATTTCAGCCCCCTCCCCAGCATTCTGTCACAAGTGGAACCAAAGGGCTAGAAACTTATCACTCTGGGTGCACAGAGGAGGAGCCCTGTATGGAGGGAGGTGGAGTTGTGATCTATCACACAGCTGCGCACCTTAGGGTACCTTGGCTTTAAGAGTTTACATATTCCTTGATATTCAACCTAAATCTAACTTCCTGTAATGTGGGCCTATTATTATGTGTCCTGCACTGTGGGATGACTGAGAACAGATCCTGCCCCTCCTATTTATGACTACCTCTCACGTATTAGAAGAATGCTATCACATCTACCGCAATCTTTTCTCCAGGCTAAACATGTCCATTTCTTTCAGTCTTTCCTCGCAGAGCTTGGCTTCCAGTCCCCTTGGCAAACTGTGGTGTCCAGATCTGTACACAGTACTCAAGATAAGACCTAACCAGTGCCGAATGGAGGAGGAGAATTAGTATCTCACGTGATTTGGAGACTGTGCTTCTGTTAATGCATCCTAAAATAGCATTTGCCTTTTTTGCAGCCACATCACACTGTTGGCTCATATTGCTTGTGGTTTACATCAATTCCAAGAACCTTTTCACTCGTAGTATTATCACTACCATCTTGTAACTGTGCATTTAGTCTCAGGTGTAGAACTTCACACTTGTTAAACGTCATTCTGTTGTTGATACAAATTATTTCTCATTATATATTTGTACAAGCTTAATTTTGCAGTTTTGTCTTCTTTTGCCCTCCTTTTTGCGATGTATATCCTCTTCTCTGATAAACCACGTTCAAATCCCTCATAGCGAGGCGAGGGATGGGGGGGGCAGCACGGTATTGCCTACCTAACAGGGTTGATTTGACATTTCAGTGGCAGAAAAACGGTTAAGGGTTCCGCCATCAGTTATTTGGAAGAAGGGCACGACATAATGTACTAGCCACGTGCAAGACTTAACTCTTTTAAAATTAAGTTTACTCCAACGGACAACAACGCCAACCGCACCACAACCTTCCCCTCTAGTCTAAAGGGCCTGAGGCCGCCGAGTTTTCTGGAAGTTCCCATCAGGCAGTTCGCAGGTAACCACAGCAACCGACGCCAAGCCTGGAGTCCTACGGACGGTTCTTTTGACTACCTTTGGACGCTAATTGGAGGAGCCTGGTGCCAATTCGCCCCTTGAGCTCGGCGATTGGTGGTTCGCCTTCCGGAATGGGTGGGGGCAGATTCTCTCCTTTCCGCTTCCGGACACGGTCCTGACAACGGCGAAGAGGGGGGTCGGTGTGGCTGCCGTGGAAACGTAAAAGCCGAGGCAACCGAGGAGCCAGCGATGGGGGCCAGCGGGGAGGACTCGGCGGAGAGCGAGGAGCGCTTCGACGGCATGTTGCTGGCCATGGCTCAGCAGCACCAGGGCGGCGTGCGGGAGGTAAAATGGAGGGCAGGCAGGCGAGCGGGCGAGCGAGGTGGGCCCTGGTTCTTCCCCTCCTCCGTCCCGGGATGGCTCCCTTCTGGGAGCCTCCTTGCCCCTCTCCCGAGGGAGCCGTGCTTTTTCTCCTCCACCGGCATAGCCCCCTTTTTCCCTCTGATTGGCAAGAGCCGGGAATTCCTGTCATGTCGTGGGCCTCCCACAGGCTTTTCAGGGACCACGGGGAGGGGGGGCTGTGCAGGTACACGAGACTTGGGCCGTGGATAAGCTGCTGTGGAGGAAGAAAAAAGAATTGCATTAATTCATAGGAGAAAAAAAAGGAGAAAAGACGCTCCTGGATGTTGCAGGAACGTGATCTTCGTGTTCAGAACGTTTACACTTATAATTCGTTTTCAAGTGCAATAATTCTTTGATAACTTTTCCATATCAAAGAACGATAAGATTACGTTTTTTTTGTCTAAATAGCCTTGAGAATGTGAAGAACTCATCCGGTGCTTGAGATTCTTACATTAAAGCCCTAGGAATCTTGGTTTTGCAGAAGTCACACAATCCATAAATTACATGATTTTCTACAAAACCCAGGCATATTCTGCCCAAGTTCAGATCTCCAGAGGTAGATGAACTGCATCCAAGTGTATTAGATGGTCTAAGAACCCTCAGAACCACTGTCTGTTATTTTCTTGAAATCATGGAGAATGGGTGAAATACTAGTTGATTGGCCTAACGTTGTCCCATCTGGAGGCCCAAGTTTGGGGACCACTGACTGGCCTAATGTTGTCCCTGTCATCTAGAGCAGTGGTTCTTAACCTTTGTTACTCGGATGCTTTTGAACTGCAACTCCCAGAAACCCCAGTCAGGACAGCTGGTGGTGAAGGCTTCTGGGAGTTGCAGTCCAAAACTCCTGAGTAACCCAAGGTTAAGAACCAGTGATCTAGAGGAGGGACCTGGGAACTACAGACCACTTGACATCAGTCCCAGGGAAAATTCTGGAGCAGATTATAAATCAGTCACTCTCACTCTGCCAAGCACCTTGAAAACAATGCAGTGATGACTAGAAACCAACATGGATTTGTCAAGAACAAATCCTGCCAGATCAATCTCTCATTTTTGACTGGTAAACATTGGGTATGCTGTAAACCTAGTGTTTCTTGATTTCATCAGTGCTTTTCCCATAGTCACCCGGGATATATTGATTAGCAAGTTAACTAAGTATGGGCTGGATAGAACACAGTTGGTTACAGAATTCAACATTTGTACAATATTAACTTTCTGGATGAGGGGCCACATTTAGGATGACACAAAATTGGATGGAATAGCTATTTTGGAAGACAAACAAAATTCAAAAAGATCTTGATAGCCTCAAACATTGTACTGAAAACAACAGAATGAAGTTGAATAGGGATCAGTGTAAAATTCTACAAATAGATACAGTATATTTATTGCAAGATAGGGGATACTTGACTCAGTAACACTGTGACCAAGAATGATCTTAGAATTATTGTAGATCACAAACTGAATGTGAGCCAACAATGTGATGTGGCAGAAAAAAAGGCAAATTTATTTTAGGCTGCGTTCACAGAAAGGTAGCCCCCAAATTCCATGAAATACTAATTTCTGTCTGTTCAGCACTCAGTATTTTGTCCAGTTTAGACACCACATGCGAAGAAAGATGCTAACAAACTGGAACAAGTTTACTGCTGGGCAGCAAGGATGACTGGAAACCAAGCTCTATGAGGAAATACTGAGAGAACTGAACATGTTTAGCTTGCAGTCGATTATCTGGCTGCAAGTCGAACCTAAAAAGGCATTAGGCAAAACAATTAAGGCCACTCACCTAGCTATCGCTATAGTACTCGAACCCAGATTTTGCAGCCAGAGAAGTCTGTAACTTGAGCCGTCTGTAAGTCGAGGGTCCACTGTATAATACTATGAATTGTTTTGCTCTGCAGATAAAAAGGCATTAGGCAAAACAATTAAGGCCACTCACCTATCGCTATAGTACAGTAAGCTTGATAATAACATTGGCCATAATCCTGTTGCTTTGTGTAGTAAACTGCACTAGAGTAGGCTCATTGAATCAACAGGGATTTAGTGAGTCAGTGCTTCTTTAATTTTCATTGATTCTGATGGGCCTATTCTAACTGGCGTACTTTTTTGAAGTAAGTTGTTATTAGAATAGGCCCATTTAAATCAACTAAATTTACAAGGGAGTTGACTCAGTAAATCATAGTGCGATTTACTATGCCAAGCAACAAGATTTTCATCATTATATCTTTAAAGAAGGGGGATACTTATTATGTGAAAAAAAGCAAAAAAATGTGTTGGCTGGGAGTAGCATGAAAGTGGACCCACTTTTCCTGTGAAAATAACTTTTATTTTCTCCTTGCAGCTTGTGAACACATTTTTCAGCTTCTTGAGGCGCAAGACGGATTTCTTTGTAGGAGGAGAAGAGGGTGCTGCTGAGAAGGTATCTTAATTTACTCATGACTTGGCTTATGGAGAAGTGATAGTACTTTTTTTCTTTGACTTGCTGAACTCTCAGATTCCTGCAGGGTCATTTTGTGGCTATAATCTACCATGAATTTTCTCTTGATTTGCTGCAACTGGGTGATGTCACATTCAGATGCCAAATCCTTAAAGCAGCAGAAGAGGCTATGTTAAGTAGTGTCCCGCCTTGTCCAAGCAATTTTATATGTATAGATATCTATAGATGACACCAGTACCAGTTTGCTTTGTTTTGTCTGGAGGTGTGTTGGTGTTCAGCTGTGCTTTAACCAGAGGCTAGTTTGAAAAGCTTGTGTGCTGGAATGGACTAATTTAACTCTGGCAGACACCACAGGATCAATAATTCCAGTTTACTCTGTTTGTCCATTCCTAGAAAAGCTGTAAGTCCACTTTTCCAGCAGTGACCGTTTAGCCAAATAGCAGTGTTTGCCTAACCTAAATGTGCAGGATGCTGCTGGTAATCTTAAATACCATGTGATTGTTTAGTACCTTTGCTGATTTGGGATGAAGTTATAGATTTGACCACCTCATTTTTAGAATTCGTATGTAAGCTGTCAGGTGCTATAAGGAGATCAGAAAAAAATCAAATTTTCTGACAATCTTTAGGAATTAATGTTTACATATTCTTCACAACAGATAGGCAGATGTTACAAGCAAAAATATTTAATTTATATACTGATGTGGCATGGACACTACATAAACTAGAGATTACTGGAGTAGGCCCATTGAATCATTGAGGATTTGGTGAGTCTACTCCCCCTAAATTCTGTTGATTCAAATTGGCCTATTCCAGTTACAACTTGCTTTAGCATAGGAAGTTGCAACTAGGGTAGGTTCATTTGAAACAATGGATCTTATGGAGGAATTGATTCACCTGATTGCCACTGATTTAATGGGCCTACTCTAGTGTTTCTTACTATGCTAAGCAACAGCATTTTAGCAGTTGCCACCTGCTCTTGAACCTTTAGTATTGGCACATACTTTTTGTCCCAAGGAGTTCAGTCAAAGACAGTTTCTAAAACTTGTACAAGATTTGGGAAAATACTTACTGCAACAGACTTTTGATTTGCCTAATAGGGTTTCTGGAGCTTGCAGAATAAGCAGGGGATAAAATTTTAACCGGGATCAGGAGTCTTTGGTTCTCCAGTCTTTTGGGCTTCACCTCTAAGACATCTCGGCCATTGTGTCAATTAGCAAGGAGCTGTGGGAGTTATACCTTCAAACAACTGAAGACCTAAGGATTCCTTATCACTGATTTAAATTTTTTTAAAATCAGGGAATAGTTTTCCCCTGAATTGTGGCATGTGGAGGAAACCACTGTCAGTTATAAGAAAACAGATGTGGAAGTAAGTAGTTCATGTCTAACAATAATAAATATTGCAGTATATAGAATCATTTCCTGTTTTTTATGCTAGTAAAATGAGTTTGGGGCCTTAGTAGAAATTCAGAATTGTAGGTTTATAATAAACCTGCAGATCCCATGCTAAGTTCTGCATCATGTGAAGGAGCCATATATTTCTGTCTGTTATGTCGGATCTAAGCCATTCAGGTACAGCCCTGTTTAAAGATACCGCCTGTCCTTTACCTTTAGAAAAAAAACAACACAAAGATAGTAGAGAAGGTCAGCATGATTTTTCTTCAGTAGACACAAGACTCCAACGTATCACTGTCCAAAGGGCATGTGTTACCAATTTCAGTGCTTCTGTTCATGGCCTTCAATTGCCACAGCAGTTATGAAGGTCACCCAGTAGTAGAAACCCTTGAAATTCAGCCAGTTATGCAGTCAGATGACTGCGTCACCTCTTGGAGCAAACATGTAGAGCCCTGACCCTCAGTCTGTTACTTCAAAATTGTGGGCAAAGGTAGCACTGTTTATTCCACCCTGTGGACTGGTGGAAGGGAACAGATAAGTCATTCAAATAACTTTAAGATTCACAACTCTTAATGTACCTCTTGCTAATTGCAGAAGTGTAAGAGTTTGGAGTGAATTTATATTTCTGTAGCTAAAAGTATGCACCTTGTGCCATTCGTCTCATGTGGATAACTGCTTAGAAAACAAGTGTTCTTGCTGATCCTCTTTACCAATTTTCTATCAGATCTTGGGACAGGGAGTTGGGCATGATGCTTATCAATGTTGTCTGTCTTCTAGAAAAGTTTTCCTCCCTCCCCTGCTGCAACTGCAAGCAGAAATCAGAAATATTTCCAAGAAAACAAAGCCACTTTACAGTAAGCAATGTGTAAAATAGCATGTCATAAATGTTTGTATTTTTCCATCAGTTAATCACAGAGACATTCAGCCGGCACAATAAACTGGCTCAGAAAGCACAAAAGGAGAAGAAAGCCCACCAAGAGGCAGAGCAGCGTGAAAAAGCAGAACGTGCTGCTAAACTTGCCAAAGAAGCAAAAAAAGAAGACAGCGAACCAAGGATTAAAGAGCTCACGGATGAGGAGGCAGAAAGGTTGCAACAGGAAATTGACCAGGTGTGACTCCATTTATCATATCTGCCATTTACATGGCAATAGAAGACTGAGTGCCTTGCTTGTGATGAGTTTGTCTCATTTTTATTGCATACTTTATTTGGAGAACTGTAGAAGTGTCAGTGCTGATATGATTTTAGAGTATCTCCTCTTTTGTGTAGCTAACGGTATAGTTTAGCTATATTTTGGACTTAGGGTACTTTGCAGGCCTTTATATGCTAACCATGTGTATGGAAATGGACCACATTACATTCTGTCCAAATGATGTATTGCTACTGCTTCGGTTGAATGCAACAAGTAGGGGAGAACCTAGTGCTGTTAATAATAAATAACATAAAACATGCTTACCCCTCAACTAAAACTATTTTTTCCAAAAACAGAAGAAGGAGAAAAAAGAAAATGAGGCCCAGGAAGTCAAATCTGCTGAGAGTCCAATGGAATCGCCAGAGTCCAGCAAACAGGTAATATGTTCTTGGAGGCTTTGTAGTTATAAATAGATAATTTGTTCCCACCCTAAACCTCCGTTATTTTTAGATGGTTCTTCTCAGCTGAGATCCTGATATGTAGCTCTGTGGGCGCAGTGGTGATGATATCAGCAGTGGCAAATTGTCATTAAAAGCTTCCTTTGGCAATTTCTGGCTGCATACCGCTCCATTACATTCTGAATGAGACACGTGCACAGTGATACCACCTTTAATAAGAGATGATTTGCCAGTGATTGTGTCATTGTTGAGCACATGGAGCTGTGCAACAGGGTTTTGGCCCCTCTGTGTTTGCCAGAACATATGGAAATGTTTGGGCTTCATATGAGTAGGCATTCAGAAGAATGATCAAACTTTATGATTGATAATGAAGTTGAAATTGTTAACAAATTTTCTGCACCTTGGTTCAGTCATGAGTCCAAATAGATACTGCAGCCAAGAAATCGGAAGAAGACAAGACTTGAAAGGTAGCTATGGAGGAATTAGAAAAGATCTCTAAGTGCAAGAATGTGTCATTGGAGACTAGCATGTACATCATCTACATGCTGGTTTCCAGTTCCCCATTACTAGCTTCATTTGTGTCAGAAAGGCTATCTGCAGCACTTGTGGAGTAGAAGGATCATCTGACAGGATAGTTTTGTGGTCCAGAGTATGCCTTATTGCATTCATAGTCCTCATATTATTGGGGATGCTCTTTCAGTGTCTTCCCCCCATGATTACTATGTACAGATGTGAAAGATGGACAGTGAAAAAAGCTAACATGAAAAAAATTGGTACATTTGAAATATGATGTTGGAACAGAGCTTTGTGTATCCCATAGACTGCTAGAAGGGCAGATAAGTGGGTTGTAGATCAAATCAAGCCAGAATTCTCCCTAGAAGTGACCGTGACTAAGCTGAGGCTATCGTACTTTGGGCTCATCATGAGAAGGCAGGGCTCACTGCAAAAGTCAATAAAAGCCGAAAGCAAAGGGGAAAAAGGGATACCAAATAAGGGTTGGATTGAGTCAATAAAGGAGGCAACAGCCTTGAGTTTGCGAGAGGTTAGTAGGGCTGTTAACAACAAGGCTTTTTAAGAGGTCATTAATTCATATGGTCACCATGCATTGGAAGCAGCTTGAGGGCATGTAACAACAGTATGGGGGCACTGAGGTGCTTTTGGACTGGGCTGGTGCTAAAAAAATCCTGTCTTTGAGGTTTGGTATCTCTTAAGTCACAGTTTCCAAAAGGATTGTCAAGTTAAAATATGGTAGCAAAACCAGCATATTTATTGTAATATACCATTACATTGGTACTTCAGGTGTATGTAGTTGATGAGAATAAGCAGGCAGTGAAGTTAAAAAGAAGGTGAATGTTGAAAGTACATTTCTGAGTTTCCTATTCACTTATTCCCAGACAGTAGTTCTAGTTCTGCCACTCAGTATAATTCTTCAAATGTTTGGTGAGGTGAACTATACAACATTACAACTTATGCTGTAATAAATTTCTTAGTCTTTGAGATGCCACAAAGGTTATTTGTTGGATTTTTAAGCAAGCTAACCTTTTAAGAAATTTGAACTACAATATGTGTGCTCCAAATGTTTTTGAACTATTACTTATATAGGTGGTACAGCGGCAGAGGGAATCTTATTTTTTTACTGTTTTCCTTGCATCTGATTAGGATACAGATGATGAAGAAGAAGAAGATGAGAAGGACAAAGGCAAGCTTAAACCAAACTCTGGGAATGGAGCAGATCTTCCAAACTACAGGTGGACACAGACCCTCTCTGAACTGGATGTAAGGACAGATTTGAGAACTTGAGGGGTTTTACCTAGGGGCAGATGGGTTATATTTGTTGTAGCTGGGTTGAATCACTCAGATAATAAGCAGTGAGTCTAAGGAAACATTCTATCTCTTGAATGTTAACAAGAGGAAAACATAAGGAAGGTGAATATCACTGGGAGTCAGTCAGTCTTCCTGTTCTCCAGCTTGACAGTAGCTGCTTTTTATGGCACCAGCTTTCAATACAGAAAGCTGTTCCAGATAGGAAGTGGACTGAAACTCATTATCACAAACACAGATCTGTACCTCGTCCATGGCAGAGGTGTATGTATGAGAATTCATTACTCCCTCTTGCTCTGCTACCCTTTGTCTAGCTGGCCATCCCATTCAAGGTGAACTTCAGGTTAAAGGGAAAAGATGTGGTGGTCGACATACAGAGACGGCATCTGAAGGTGGGCCTGAAGGGGCACACTCCTGTGATTGACGGCACATTATACAATGAAGTGAAGGTGGAGGAGAGTTCCTGGCTAATTGAGGATGGGAAAATTGTCACTGTGCACTTGGAGAAGGTAATAGCAAAGGATTTTGCATTTAAGCATATTGATACTTTTGCCAGAGTTTTAAATTCCTGCATATACTGTCTGCTTTGTATCTAGAGGTGATAGTTCCTGAAGAGAGGAGCTTCAAAATTTACCCCACAGGCTAACTGCTAATTCACATGTACTATCGTATTCTGATAAGCAACAAAAATGGAATGTTACCTGACAGTCTCTGATCACTAATAAGTAGAAAACTCAAAATCCCAAATTCACACACCCCATTCAAGAAAGGATGCCCAGTTTGCTGTAGAGAACAGAGTTGTGAACTAGAACTCTGGAGACCTACGTTTGAAAGCCTGGCTGGCCATCAAGAATCACCGTGATTGAGTGTAAGGTGGAACTGTTAAAACCACTTCTTGCTTTACCTTGAAAATCTTACTGAGGTTGCTATAAGTTGTTTCTGAGTTGATGGAACATAATGCGTGTTCAGGATGAGACTTTTAATTTTAAAATGTTTAATTTTGCTGTATCTTACCTTTAGATTAACAAGATGGAATGGTGGAACAAGTTAGTCCAAACTGACCCAGAAATTAACACCAAGAAGATTAACCCAGAAAACTCAAAAGTGAGTGTATCTTTTACTTTCAAAGTAAACAACCATTTGTGCCCATTTTGCAAACTTTGCTATACAGTATGGCAATTGAAGCATAAACCTAGCTGCTAGTTTTGAATTGAGTAAACTCACAGAATCAGTGAGATTTACGTAACATTCACTTACCATTCAACAGTAGATTTAGTGTGTCTACTCATAACAAACACTTTGATTTAGGTCTTAATCATTTGCAATTCATGGCTGAATCAAAGACATTCTGCCAAACTGCCTAAATTAAAAGTAAATTTCTCTAAGGGGGGCAGATACTCTTTTTCAGACTGTTGCCAACAAGGAAGAGTTGATGTTGCCAAGGGCTAAGCAGGTGATGCTTACCCAGCTCAGGACCTATGCTTTGCAACATATACATGAACTGATGCTACATGGGTGGGAAGTGACTAAAAAGCAGTGGTCAGAAAAGGAAGGACTAGGACAGGAAGTGGTTTCAGAAATCTTGGCACTATCTTGAAGTCACATTTTGTTTTAAAGTGTTTTCTACTGTGAATATTTTTGACGGGTTTTATAGGTCACTTCATAATGCGGCTCTGCGCTGTGGGAATATGGACATTCTTTAACAATATCTTTTTGCAATTTCCAAGCTATCAGACTTGGACAGTGAAACCCGCAGCATGGTGGAGAAAATGATGTATGATCAGCGGCAGAAGTCCATGGGGCTCCCCACATCTGATGAGCAGAAAAAGCAGGACATACTAAAGAAGTGAGTAGGGCAAATTTTGAGTGCCTCTTGGAATGCCGTATGAAGAGGAAGAATGAGTTTTCTCTCCCGGTAACTGCTAGTTATCTCTACAAAGTCATCTGCAGGTCAGGCGCTGGTCTTAGTCCAGCAGATAGGGCACTGTAGGTACTCATGGGCCTGGCAGTACCATCTCGGCTTGAACCATGATGTGATGTCTCTGACTCTAATCTCCTTGTTCCTCAAAACCAGATAGCATAACTTTCCCCCACCCGCAAATACATGGATCACTGCTTTTATCAGTTTATTGCAGTGCTTGGCAGAGAGCTGCTCAGAAGCTTTTGTGAGTACAGTAATTCCCCTATTACGGCCACACAGGGTGATGCTCTGTGCTCTCAGGTTAGAAACTGGCTAATCAAAGGGCACACAGCTGCTCTTGAGCAACTCTTAGCATCTTTGGTGGGACAGGAATTACTGCGCTGTAGGCAAGTGAGAGTTGCTGTACAAAGCAGCCCTCTTCATGGCTAAATTCCTGAGACAAAATCTTAATATTGGCAGGCATTAGATAAGAGCACTCACTTCTGATGTCTGTAGAGACTGACTTAAATCACTGGTATTCCCTAGATCCGGTGAATTGCTGATGTACTGAGGTGTAGCACTATCATAGGGTACGTGGCAAAATGACAAGGAATATTTCTTCCTCTTCTAACATTTGCACCATAAAATCCTTTTACAGATCCATTGCATTGTATAATTTGCTTACACAGTAATTTGTTTTAATTCATTGAATTATTTGCATTTATGTGTAGGCTATTAATTGGCCAGTGAGTGCACATTGCACTGTTGGGCAGTATGTGAGTTAAATAAATAACATTCTCTACAGTACAGAGTGGTACTGACCTACCAGATGGGCGGGATACAAATCAAATAAATAAATAAATAAATAAATAAATGTCTTGCACTTACAAGAAATGGCAAGGAGACTGATTCCAGCTTATTGTTTAGTTTTGTCACATCTCAGCTCATTGATCATTTTGGGATTTATTTGTCATTTAGCTCTGAAACTTTACCCCCCACCCTCTATTAGACAAAATTCTCCAGCCTCACTGTTTCCCCTTCTCCTCCAACTCCCAAGGATGTGTGTTCAGGAGAGAAAGTGTGGCCGTATGCCTTTACCTTAAGAGCGTGGGCAGATCTGTCCTGTATCAGACCAAAGACCTATATTGCCCAGCACTATAGGGTTTTCCAAATTGGCCAACTAGATGTCTCTGGGAAGCCTACAAGCTGGATATGAGTACAGCAGTCTTGTGTAGCCTAATGCATGGGTTACATAGGCATGCTACCTGTAATACAGTTCCTGAAATATAGCCATCCTACCTTCTGATGTCCCTCAGTTTTTCTAATTCTGTTTTATAGTCATCTGTGTTGATGGCCATTGCTATGATTTATGCAGGTAAATTCTGTTGTCTGTGTGATGTGCAAATGTTATCAGAATGAAATTTGTTTAGACTTCAGCAGATTAATGCAGTGTCAGCCAGAATCCTGTTGATAATTTATATGTGCATACATAAATAGTGAAACTCGCTGCAACAAATTGCCACTAACTAGCGAGGGACTGACTGCTCTATGCAGTGCACATCCAGTTGCACAACAGGCACACCTGGCAGCAGTTCATTGTAGTGAATTATGTAGCTTAACTTACACATGCATAAATCACCAGTCGGATTCTGGCCATCTTTTCTCTGCTGTTGCTTAACATTTTGGGCAGCTGAACTTGCCTATCTTGGCCAGCTATATAACCCATCTAGTGGAATAGCTTATAAGATGGGAAATCTATGGTATAGTCTTATAATAACTCACAAAATGTATGTGTATATAATCTGCTTAGTATGCATTGTTTTTCTATTTCTTGAAACATTTTCATCTCCTTCTTTTGTCTTGCTCTGAGTGTTAATGTGTCTTTGTTCCCTTCTCCTGCTTGGGATGAATGAGTAGCTGGATAGGAACAGAATTGTCACAAAAACCGATAGTGAAGCTTGCAAACCATACGAAATCTCCTGCCTAAATTGTGATCTGATGCTGCTGAATTATCATTCCTGACAAGATCATGGTGGGCAGGGTTTTGAAGTCAGAGCAGATCTTATCAGAAGAGTCTGACTTCTTACCAAGATTTCTTTGAAGTCGTCCTTCACTCAGTAGCATTCTTACTGTACAAACAAAAATTGTGTTTGCACAAAATGGAAAGCTGGTTTTATAAGCCGGGTGTGATGTGTCTGACCTGAAGGTAATAGTTCCCAAGGGCACATTTGATTAATTTGCAGCTGCTCATTTACAACTGTAGTATGTTGTAACGGGGCAATTGTATTGATATTAATAATGGGACGGTTGATGAAACATTGTATGCCATGATCCGTGCAAAGCTGCAATAGAAGTACGTTTGTTCAGACATGGGATTTTATGCAACACAGCACCTGTTTCTTTCAATTTTTTTTTCTTGGTGTGGTGATAAATTTCTTCAGTGGCCACCTCTTGTCCATATTAACTGATTATCATTGTCTTATAACAGCTATCTTCTCTTTTGGTAATTTTTTCTCTTTGGGTGTATTTTTATGTAAAATATTATGTAATATATACTTAGAATAGAATAATTTCCAATGAGACTCACAAAATTCCCAATCATGCAACATAAAACACAGTGTGAAACAAACAATGGCATTTTAACACAATAAAGCAAAGCAATAATGATCGTAATACAATGCTTTAAATAGCATTTCAGCAACACAGTGCTGACTCAACAGGTCTGCATACGCATTATAATCATTTTTATCTGACACCTAGAACTCAAGAGTTGGCACAAGATATAGTGTCCTGAAAAGGGTATTATTTAACTTATATGTGACATAGCTTTGCTGGTATCCTTCTAGCTGTCTTAACTAACGAATGCTTCTTTCATTCTTACAGGTTCATGGAACAGCATCCAGAAATGGATTTCTCCAAAGCAAAATTCAACTGATATGCTTTTGCCTTTTTCTTCCCCCCCCTCCCCCATTAAGTTTTAAAGTTTGAAAGCAAAGCCCAAGCAGGGAGAGTATGTACTTTCTCCTCAGCCTTGGAGGGCAGTGAGTGCTCATATCATCCTAGAGTGAGCTTTTCACATGAAACAAAGCTGTGTTACTTAATCCATGTAGCATGCTGTTTAGGCTTCTGGATTTGTAACAGTACTACCAGTCATCTGACACCTGTTTTATATTTGTGTACAGACTAGTATGTCAGAGATAGAAGTGAAGTAGAATAGGGATCGATAATGCAAATACTGCATTTTCCTTGAGTTTCTCCTAGGGGTAGTCCAACACAGTGGTTCCCAACCTTGGGTAATCCAGGCATTTTTGGACTACAACTCCCAGAAACCCCAGCCATCATAACTGGTGGTGAAGGTATTTGCAGATTGCAGTCCAAGAACACCTGGTTTACCCCAGGTTAGGAATCAGTCGTCTAACAGATTTAGGAGGCTATATTTGGTTGCAATTCTTTTAGAATCTAAAGAGGTACTCTACCTTCACTTTCCTTTGCTCCCCAGTTTTTGTTTTCAAGCTGAGGATCAGAAATCTTCCATGAAACACCCTGTTAGTACACCCTGTCCCACTAGTATGACTACAACTCCCAGAAACCCCAGCCAACATGACTGGTGGTGAAGGTATTTGCAAGTTGCAGTCCAAGAACACCTGGCTTACCCCAGGTTAGGAATCGGTCGTCTAACAGATTTAGGAGGCTATGTTTGGTTGCAATTCTTTAAGAATCTGAAGAGGTACTCTACCTTCACTCTCCTTTGCTCCCCAGTTTTTGTTTTCAGTCTTCAATGAAACACCCTGTTAGCACACCCTGTCCCACTAGTAGTCCTGTTCTTAAACAGGCAACTCCTGCAGAATGTGGAGTGTAGCAACACTTGGGAATGGAGTCTCAGAAAAAATACTGACAGAGGAATCCATGAGTGCCTCATGCTTGTTGTGCCTGCACTGTAATTGCTAGCAGGGAGATGTAGTGTAGGAGTGATGTGTGTTGACCCTTGCGCATACACCTGTTGAGACATTATGGTGAAAGCAAAAATTTTGCATGACATATCTTTGTATCTGTCAGTATTTTTTAAAAAGCTCCAGTGTTGAGATTGCAAATATACATGCATATACTTGAAGGAGTAGTCTGCCATCTAGACATGATTTGGGTGAATCAGAAAGATATAAAATTCTTTGGACCAGTGCTGAAATAAGCCACGTCAAAATCTGGTATGTTGTTGCTACTTCCATCATAGCAAATCTGTCTGCTGTCATGATCTCTTTCTTGTTCTGTCACACCTTGATTGTATGTGTCTCCCTCGGAACACTAGAGGTTTCAGTTGCAAACATGCTTTGGCCTTAAAAAGGAAGATCTAGGAATTGACAGGCTCCCTTGAACACCTCACACATTTAAGGAAGTTGATTTGCATTCTATACTTGCGTTACCAAAGATAAATTGATCTGTGAGAACTGTGAGTCCTGATTCATTGCAGTCTACTTGGACCTGGTGCCCTATAGCAATGTTGGACTGCAACTATCATTTGGCGCCAGCATGGTCATTGGATGGAAGGATGGAAGTAGAAGTCCACCATATCTGGAGGATGTCAACATGTGAAAGACTATCCTAACATGAAGCAGATATTCTGTTAGAAAAAGTATATTGGATGGCAAGTGGATCTTTGGTTTGTTGAAACTAGTTATCCTCCTGTTCCGTAGACATTCCCCTTTCAGTGCTGAATATGCCAAGCAAGAAACATCTGCATGTTCTTCTCCTTTGTTGCTTAAAACAGCTTATATTCTGCATGTACAATTAAAAAGATGTTGTTTCCATGGGTTGTTACTCTGGGAGCTCTGTTTTTTTCCTATCTATCAAAATAACCTAGGAACTACTGTGAGGTGGTGGTTGGCAGCTTGAAATAAACTATTCTGTACCTTAAAGTTATAATACAAGTGTTTGTACAGTCTTCAATTTCCTCCAGTTGAAGGAAGAGTGGTACCATTAAATGCAGTGGGCAGCCTGATGATCTCTAACTAATTGAGACTGCAGCTCTTAGGAAAATGTTAGTATGGGGGTAGGGAGGGTTTAGGGGTAGAATTCCAGAACATACAGAGCGTACGTACCAGGTTGCCTTCAGTATAGATGCTTCTTCCAGTATGCTAAACACGCAAGAGGACAACCTTATTGTTGACTTTTCAGTCAGCTGTAGGCTGTCAAATGATACACATGCTTCAGCAGTCTCCCCCCCCCATGCCCCCACATCCTTTCCTGAGCTGACAGGGCAACATTGATCTCTTTCATCAAGTACTTTATGACTATTCTGCAACTGGAAAATTCAGCCATGGACCAACTGGGTTGATGATATTTGTCATCTTCTGAACTTTTCAGAGGCCTTGATTGTCCACTGATCCTTTCTTCCTAGCACCCAACTCAGTTTCTTCCCATTGCTTTTATAGCTCGTAAATTATGTGTATGATCTCCGCATATCTGATTATCCTCTCTTCTCTTTGCTGACTAGCAGCCTGTAGTATGAGATCCAAAGGGACCAAAAATTCTGAAGGAGAGGGGAGGTAGAGGGAAAGGAGCCTTAAGTTTTGCAGAAAGGTAGAATATCCATTAAAGAGTGTGTGGGTAAAGGAAATGAGGGTCCTTCTAATGCTGAGGGTCTAACGTTGCCTTCATGTTTTCTCTGTGCCTTTTTATGTGTTAAATTCATTACAAAGGTGCCATGAGTATAAGCTCTGCTGTACTTAGTCTGTTAGGTGCACTTTGTAGTGAGCTTATTAATTCCCTCACCCCCTTTATCAGCAAAGAGCAACTATCCAAGTTAAGCAAACAACCTACAGGTAAATTGACTTCCAGGTTGCTTGTCCCAAGGCTAGAACCTAATGAGCTCTTTTGCCACTGGGTTGTCTTTGCTGGGCTGTAAACCATGTATATTTACATCTTGGCAGTGACCCCACCATATCCTGAAATCCTGATTACACACCTGAAGCCTTGGTGCCTTGGTACAGCCTGGGTTAATGACTTTGTTTATACTGATAAGGTCAATCCAGATAAAGAGAGTCCTCCGAGTCTCCTGGCCCTGGCTGGCACCTTCATTGAGAAAACCTTTCTCTGTGCCACGTGAAGACTCGGGCTTTTCCCCCGACCAATCGTTTCAGGACTGACTTTGTTTTTCAATGAGCCACTGGTGCTTGTCAAAGGAAGGTCAAGGCTGTTGAGGAGGGTGATTTCATTCACCTTTCAGGGCTGTATAAGAGGAGTGCAGAAAGAGCAGCCCTAGGAGGAGCTATAAAGTGACAAAAAGGTGCTCATCACAGTGAGAAGCCTGCACAAGGACCAGGTTTGGAGCGAAAAGCACCTCTCTGACAAGTTCTGGCCAGCACACCCTGCTCTGACGTGGACATGGAGTGTGAGAAGTGCACCTGCTACCACAAAGAGAACCAGAATGCCATCCTGTATTCCCTTCTGAGTCAGAATTTGAGTCACTACAGGGACAGCCATGGTCCTTCTCAACAGCACTGCTTGTGCCATAAACGCCGCACTGTCTGCCTCCAGACCCCTCAAGTTACCTGCCAAGCCGCTTCGAATGTCTTGGTGAAGACCATCAACTTCATGAAGAACTTGCCCTCCTTCCAGCTCCTGCCTTGGGAAGACCAGCTCTTGCTGCTCGAAAGCTGTTGGGCTCCCCTTTTCCTTCTGGGGCTAGTCCAGGAGATGGTCACCTTTGAGGTGATGGAGACGCCAGCTCCCAGTATGCTAGAAAGCATCCTCCTCAATGGCCAGTGCAAGAGACCGGAGCTGCAGAGAGCGCAGCCCACCCTGGCCAGCGTGCAGCGTCTCCAGTGCTGCTTGAACTCTTTCTGGAGTCTTGACCTGAGCCCTAAAGAGTATGCCTATCTAAAAGGAGCCATTCTTTTCAACCCTGGTAAGTGCTGCTGTACGCGCACAGTAAGAAAGCCCTGGGTCAAGGATTGTGCTTTAGAAATCTAGCAGAATGAAAGACGCCGAGTTGCACCCTGCTGTAAACAGTGATAAAATGTAGGAACTTTTCCAAGAGGTTGTAACCTGATACATTTTCTTAATTGATTCAACGTTTGTGCTTTAGTCTATTGAGGAAATTTGCATACAGTTTTTTAAAAATTAAAATATTTATACTAACCTTGAAGTTCTTTTTCTGAGTCCTAGGGCTTATGTAGCCTCCCCCCCCCAAAAAAAAAAAAGCCATCCATCCACCAGATAGCAGCATTAGCAGGCTTGTCGGAAGCCTGACCAGACCAGCATTTAAGAAAGGGAAAAAATCCCAAACAATTTCTTCCCTTTCTTAAAGCCAAATAGCTACCAAGCATTCCCTGGAGTTACAGATTGCTAACCGATGTGTTGGAACACTGGGAGAGGAGAAGAAATGGAGTGGAATGCTGGACAAGGTCTGACCGTCACCCCAAAAGGCAGTAACTCTGCAGTATCTTGTACTACTTTCCTTTTATGTTTTATGCACACGTGTCCTTGCGGTAAGGATAAGTTTAGAGAGAGCGTTGCTCTTGCGGGTGGGTGAATGCATCTTCAAAGATGATGCCTTCGATTGGTACTTTTTATACTTGCTTCTTTTGGGTTCTTTAAAAATTAATTGTTGGGCAACATATTTGAGTTGATTTAGATGTTTCGATTATTTAAAAGTGTGCTGCTTATATACTGCCTCATAGTGCTTAAAGCACATTCTGGGCGGTTTACAATTTAATTATGCAGGCTACACATTGCCCTCTTCCTCCCCTAGCAAGCTCAGTATTCAATTTACCAGCTTCAGAAGGATGGAAGGCCGAGTGAACCTCAAGCAAGCTACCTGGGATTGAACCTGGGCCGTGAACAGAGGTTTGGCTGCAGTACTGCAGTTTAACCACTGCACCATGAGGCTACAATTAAGCACTAGAACTCTATCTTTTCATGTTGCACTAAATCCAGCTAATCTGAGTGACCCATTCTAGCATTAGGATAATTCCTCCACCTATAAAATATAATTTCATGGTTTCTTTCTTTCTATAGCGCTATACTTACTTCTCCAAAGCATAAAGAGCTGTTTTATTTCAAACCACCCCCTCACACCATCTTCCAGTCATACTTTACACATTCTGCTTTAACATCTCTTCCAGTCTTGCAGCAGGCAGGTACTAATCATGAAAATAGCATGGTAAGGATCTGTTTCCTATAGTCACAGACCAATTAGCAACTGTGGTTATTGGGTTCAGTGGTATCCCTCTCCAAGGGAATCAAGGCAGTATCTGTGGTTTTTCTCAACTTCGATTTTGTCTTCAGAACCACCCTGTAAAATATGTTAAGGCTGAGCAATGTGACTGGATCTGGGTCACCCAGGTAAGTGCCATAAGTCACTGGGAATTTAACCGGGATCTCCTGCATCCTGGTCTGTTATTAAACAGACAGATGGGCAGTTCTGGCTCTCCAGAAACACAGCTGGTGAATTTTGTAAGGGGGAAACATCTGCACAGTTGTCCATCCATCTCTAATGGCTACATCTCAGATATTGAAAACCTCCAAAAGTCTTATAGCTATGAAAAAATGTAGGCAGAAATTTCATATATAGATGCTAAACAAATAAGTTGCACGTAAGCACCTAAGTCAAATTTATGAACATAAAAAATACTGTAAACATTCTCTTTTCCAGGACCTGCAAGTTATACGGGTCTAATGCAGCAGCAGAAATTTTTAATAGGAATTTCTTTTGCTTTTGCACCTCCTGTAATATAAAATGCCCATGACTCAGAATCTGACAAGCTGCCAGCCATGGTGATAAGTACAGTTATTGTGACTAAAAAGGTTAGAAATCCAGCAGTCTGCACTGCCTGTAATTTCAGGAATAGCAAATCTCAGAAAGAGAAAAGTGCTAACGTAATAAGGACAGCAAGTTACCGGTACAGTACTGTACTGCAAATGCCACCTCTGGTCATACTAGACATTGCATTGCTTAACTTTGTTTTACTTCCTATGTTTTACTTCCACACTTGAACCCTCAGCTATGAAGGAGATTTTCTCTTGCTAGGCAGTTTTTATGTACAGTGACATTGCTTTGCTAGAGACCTGGCTAATTGTTTTACAGTAACATTTAGAAAACTGCTGCTCAAACCTCATTTGTAAAATGCAGCATTCATTTCCAGGGCTGCTTTTTCTATATCTCCCTTAATTATTATAACAGTCTATCCACACATAGACACTCAAATCACATATTGGCAGGAACAGCTGGTCCCGACCCTCTTTGTTGCCTCTTTCCCTACATGAAAAGCAACAGGTCTACAGAGTAAGTGTTTCTCCTTGTGTATAAGCTCCTGCGAGCAAGAGTCATCCAGGGCTGCTCCAGAATCTACACATGAGCAGGAATGTCACCTTTGTATTCCTTCTGCAGAAAGCAATAGCTGAGAAGGAGGGGCTTCGGTCCTGCTAAAGACATGCAAATATATCTTGATTACAATTCATGCTTTGTAGGGGGAAAAAGGCAATGGTGGAAAGATCTCAGAGTTTAGAAAAATGTCAATAAGCAGAGCTTCCCCCATTCTTAAATCCAGTTTGCCTGCAATGAGTGTATTATTGTCTGAGTGCTCTTGGCTTCAGAAGAAAGAAATCAAGGGGCACCTGTGACTACGGTGGAGACTGGAAGACCTTAAGTGTTGAACTACCAGGAATGTTGGCAAGTCTTTGGGTCTGAGGCTGAGTCTTTGTACCAAGCCCCAAGTCTGAGTCCCTATTAAAAACAAGCTTTTTCCTCCATAAAAAAAAGGGAAGGGTGGGTGGGTTCCGAGTTGCGAGTCCAATCTGATTCATTTGGACGGAAAAACCTGCTGAGTTCAGTTGCCATTGCGATTTAGGTCCAACTTGACATCAAGTCCCGTGACTTGAGTCCCCATGACAAGGTTTAGTGGAAGTTTGTAGTTCAACAGTTTCTAGAAGGCCACACATTTTCCCCACCTCTGCTCAGCCTCCAGGCACTCTTCCATTTAGTATGTTCGAACGGCCAGACCTGTTGAGCATCAGCACAAGAAATCCATCACTTGCCTTGCAAGGAGAGGCACATAAGAAGACAGGGCATTTTTGGAACGTTCCTGCTCTGAACTGCCATTCCTTTAAAGCACAGGTGGTCAAAGTGCAGCCTGTGAGCCCCACTTTGGCCTCCAGCACTCCCAGGGATCGTCTCCTACATCCTCCTTGCTTGAATGGATGCCTTAGGAAGTCCATCATGCCACTCTAGGGCACACTCTAGGGCACACAGGAGGCAATGTTGCATGTTGAGGGCCCTCCGATAGCCCTGAAGCCCCCAACCCCCAACATGTGTTTGCATGTTTTTTAAAAAGATGGTGGCTAGAAGGCACAAGGGAGCGTTATTGTTCTTTTAGAAGAGGCAGCCATGTTAATCTGTGCAAGTATATAGACAAAATCCAAAGAAACAGAACATAGCAAAAAAGAGAGAAACATATGGGACTTGTGAACAATGTGACTGGCTGATTTATAAGTTAGAGTAAATTGTGTGTGTTATTCTTTTAAAAACTTTTGAAAATGTAGCAAAAACAAGTTTTTTAAAATGCTGGTTGGAGTTTTAAAATTTAATTTTAGTTATATTTCTGGCTGTATTTATAAGACAATGAAACTGAATACATTTGAATGCACATGGTAACTTTGCATAATTTTGTCTGGTTCTAGCTGTCCAGCTCATCTGGCAATTTTATGGAGTCAACATTTAATTAACCTGGATGTTCTTCTCTGTTCCCCTCTCAGATGTACCTGGTCTTAAGGCTTCCTCCTACATCGAGAGCCTCCAGAGAGAAGCTCAAAGAGCACTCCAGGAAGTCTTAGCACTTCTCCATCTGGAGGATCAAGGCCGTTTTGCCCGGGTCCTGCTGATTTCCTCTTCCCTGAAGTCCATCCCTCCTGCCCTCATTACTGACCTTTTCTTCCAGCCCATAATTGGCAACACAGACATGCTTGAGCTGCTTTCAGATATGCTGCTCATGAAATAGTCTCCTTGGCTGCAAGATCCTCTGGAGGAGGTAGCTTCTGGAGTCATTCACCGCACACTCAGCTTGGCATTCAATCCCAGAAAGCAACAGAGCTCATCTGTATCATGCAGGAGATGAGAACAGCCTCCTCCCAATGATGTGTTTGTAGACAAAGAGGCCACTGGCTGCCAGGCCTCTCTTTGCACATGCCTCAGAACACTAAAGGACAACTTCCAGCCCGCTCTTACTGAACTACCTGCAATCAAGCCTACTTAGAGCAGAGGAAAACCGCTCTGCTGGAGCAGCATTGAAAGTTCTGCCTGGGGTCATGGCACGTCCCAGGCATAATACCCATTGCCACCCACTGTGTAACAGGGTTACTGACTAAATGGTTTTTTTTCAATCCATCTATTGCCTCAGAACACTAAAGGACAACTTCCAGACCGCTCTTACTGAACTACTTGCAATCAGGTCTACTTAGAGCAGAGGAAAACCGCTGCACTGGAGCAGCATTGCAAGTTCTGCCTGGGGTAATGGTGCGTCCCAGTAATGATATCCATTGCCACCCACTGTGTAACAAGGGTACTGACTAAATGGTTTTTTTCAATCCATCTACAGCTGTAATGGGAAAAATACATTGCACACTCATGTTGGTTTTAACTGCTATTATTTCCCTTCCCCATCTGCAGAAATACTGTACTGGAATTATATTTTGATGCCACTGCAAGATTTCACTCTTACAGATTCCATGCCTTCACTTCCAGACTCAAAACATCCAAGATTTCTCAGTAAGAGCAGTGTCTCTTTGTATTCGAGATACTTTCTGAAATCCATTTCATCCAGATACAGTAGTTTGCTTTTTTAAAAAGAAAGCTACTGCAAGTAAATCTACATAAACAAACGATGTAAACAAAACCAAATTCCATTATCATTTATTTAGGTTTCTAGGTGCCAATATGTTGTCCTTCCAAAAGGCAATGGCGATTACTCTCAGAAGTGTCTGATGTGAGTTAATGTTAGCTGTTGGTTACCACTGTGCCTAAGAACCTGAATGTCCTGTCTTGTAGATTTATTGGGCCAATTTCTCTTTGTATGTGCCAGTTAAGTGGAGAAGAAAAGGCCTCTGAGTACATGCAAGAGCAAATGTTCCCCTCTCAGATGTACCTGATTTCTTCCTGATTTCTCTCTTATATTTGTGTTGAGTTATAAAAAAGGGCAATGATACAACAGGAGATACAACTGGCTATCCTGTTACACCATTTGGTGTGAGCTGCTCTGATACAGTAAAGTCTTTGGTTTGACTTTGGGGGTTCTTTATTACTATTCAGCTTTTGCTTCTGGTGATATTAGGGCCAGAATGCTTAGTTCATTATCCTATCTGTTCCACAGCAAATTTCCTCAGACTCCTGTTCTCAATATGAGTTTCTCAGTGGGACAGCATCTCCTGTCTTCAGTTTATAATGGCATGTGCATACTTGTACAAGTGGTGCCCCGCTTGACGATTACCTTGTTAGATGAGGAAATTGCTTTATGATGAAGTTTTACGATCGCAAAACAATGTTTCAAAGGGCAATTTTCATTTGACGATGATCGGTTCCCTGATTCGAGAACTGATTCTTTGCTAAACGATGATTTTAAAACAGCTGATTGGCAGCTCTCAAAATGGCCCCCCACTGTTCAAAATGGCTCCTCGCTGTTTTCAGGACTGATTATTTACAAGACAGGCACCAGAAAATGGCTGCCCTATGGAGGATCTTTGCTGGACGCTGAGGCATTTTGCCCATTGGAATGCATTGAACTGGTTTTCAATGCATTTCAATGGGCTTTTTCATTTCACTTGACAAGGATTTCGCTTAACAGCGATTTGAACGGAACGAATTATCCTCATCAAGCGAGGCACAACTTATCATCTTTGCACATATTTGTGACATCAGTATTTTGTGAGTGTGCTTGCTTGTAATTTGTATGTAATAAGATATGCTAAGTTATTATTTTTTTAAAAAATAAATAAAAGTATTGTGCAATGTGTGCAATAGTTGTTGTGAAGCCCAAACGGATTGGAATTTATAAATCTTTAATTATTTTTAACACCGTGGGCCTTGTTCTAAGCACCACACTTTAAGAAGTACACAGACCAACTGGAAGCAGTTCAAGATTGGGCAAGGAACACAAATGGTATACAGATCAGAGATCCTGGGAGCAGTGGTTGAAAGAGAAAGTGTGGCCCTAGATCTATTAAATTACAGGACAGCCTTGGGCTGAATATTAGCTGACCACTTCTTAAGAGTTGCTGCCTGGATAACTCAGTGAGTTAGATGTCTGGGTGTGGAACTAGAAATTGTGAGCTGTATTCCCCACTGTGCTTTCTAGGAGAAGAAACAGCCTGTGTAGCCATGGATAAACTGCACAATCCCAAAGGCCTCCAGGATAAGGGAATGGTAAACCTGAGTAGCATCAACCTAGAAAACTCTGGAAGGTGTTATAACTCAGAAATGACTTGACAGCATGGAATTATTATTACTCAACATTTAAGAACAGAACGGGACAAAGACTAGCCTGTTTTGCAGATCTTCAAGCAGAGGCTGAATACCTAGTTGCCTGTTGAGACTGGATGTGTTGAACTGTGTTGCTTATATGCAATTGCCTTTCCAGTCCTTGTTTAGGGAATCCAGTAGTGGCTACAATATTGTTTCTGTTGCACCTGTTGTTGATGCATACTAAACGTCAGTTGCTGCCAACTGATTAGACATCACCTAACTATTTGACTAGTAGGGAACAGGCTTTTTCTAGCTGAAAGTACACTTAGTCTGAAGTAGCTAAAAAGGATAGTAATACTGTATATAGATTTGCACTGAAAACCTATAAGGATGCTTTTTGCAAAGTATATTTTCTAAGCAGAAAACTTATGATGTACTATAAACTGATGTTCCATACCTGTCATATGAGACATACCTGCCCCCAGGGCATACAGAAAAGCTATGTTCATGATGATACTTAATTCAGAGCACCCTGGAATAAAGGAGGGCAACAAGGATGATTAGGGGGCTTGAAACCAAGCCCTGTGAAGAAAGACTGAAAGAATTGGGCATGTTTTGCCTTATAATCACAGAATAATGAAGACAGAAGGGGCCTACAAGGCTATTGAGTACAACCCACTGAGGGGAGATATGATAGCACCTTTCAAATATCTGAAAGGTAGTCATTCAGAGGAGGGGCAGGATCTGTTCTTGATCATCCCAGAGTGCACGACATGTAATAATGGGCTCAAACTACAGGAAGATAGATTTAGGCGGAGTATCGGGGAAAACCTCTTAACTGCTAGAGCAGTACGACAATGGAACCAATTCCCTCAGGAGGTGGTGAACAACCCTGGAGGGGGTTGGAATAAATTACCTTGCTTTAAATCTATACAGTTTCCAAATATCTGCTAGTATACATTAGACTGTTTTGTAAAAAGAAGAGGCCAAAGACGGACTGGGGCTGCAAACACCAAATAGCAGGTCCTCGGGTGGGCAACTGTGGAGAGTCCAGGGACTGCAGCCTCTCCCCCCCCCCCCCCGCTTGACACAACTCGAAGTAACATTAAGAGGAGTTGCGGACAGAAATAGCATTTAGTAGAATATCTGCAGTCTCTGGGAGCAGGAGCTTTCATTTTCTGCTGAAGAAACGTCTGTCCCTCAATTGGAAGGGATGACTTCAGAGGGTAATGGAAAGCCTAAGTGGCCGACATATTTTCTGCAGGATACATAGTTCCTGCTTGCTACCTCCAAAAACATTAGTTTCTTTCTGTGTGTAACATGGTGTCCATCGTGTGGATTATTTTCCTTTTTCTTTATGCAGGTCTATGCAGTCTCAATACTGTAACTTTATAACGGGAAAAAATGCATCCTTAATAGAATGAGAGACCATTACTGGAGGCACAAGGACCCACTATCCTGCATCCACTGGGTAAACATACTTGTTCCTAGCCCCAGCTATGTGAAATAGTTTACTTTTTCCACTGGTATCAATGGGCTCTCCCATCACTGGGAACATGTAAGCATCGTTTCTTAAAACAAAAAGGGATTTAGCCAGAATGAGATGGTTCTTTCTGCACATATCTACATGAATATCCTTTACACAGATATTCCCACTTCTCCGTTCCTACTCCCACTCAGTTGTTTTTCCAACATTTACTCAGGTACAGTGGTGCCTTGACTTACAAACGTCCCAACTTACGACCAATTCAAGTTATGACCAGCTCCAGCTGCAAAATTTTGCTTCGACCTGTGACCAGGCGCTTCGAGTTATGAACGGGAAAAAAGGCAGGGAAGGCGGCAAATTTGAACTGCTTTCAGTTAACTATTGGTCAGTGAAGAGGCTGCTTCTCTGTACATAGCTCTTTCGCCCCAGCGCTTAGAGAGTGTGGGTTCGGAGAGAGACTTCAGACTGCCTGGTACTGCTTGGTACTGTATTGTATTTTTGGGGGGACATTTTTGTTTTTTAAAATGTTTGTTTTTGGATTTTTGCTTTTTGACTTTCTTTTTTTTAAAAGACAGAATGCCTGTTCTGGGTGAGTACTGTATGTACAGGGTTTTTGCAGCGTGGGTTTGGGCTGGGGGTGGGTGGGTTCTGTTTTTGTGCTCTGATGGGTCTTGCAGTATGTAGTTGTAGCATTTTTAGTCCCTGCTTGAATGTTTTTTTATTATTATTCTGTGGCTCCTAGGGTTTGTGTACTGTGATCTCTCTTTTGTTTTAAAAGGTGCTTGGTTTAAAAGGTGTTGGTTTAAAAGGTGTGGATTTAAAATGTGTTTTAGTTTCTCCTCCCTCCCATCGTCTTTTTTCTCTCTTTGTCCTCTATCAGACAAAAAGCATTGTCTGAGGGATCAGTTTGCTGGAATGTTTCTAGAATGTTTTTTGTGTTTTTTTGTATTCTGTGGCTCCTAGGGTTTGTGTACTGTACAGTACTACTGTGTGGTATGCTGAACAGTACTCATGGCTCCGGAACAGATTAATTGTGTCTCAATGCATTCCTATGGGAAATGGTGCTTCAACTTATGACCATTTCGAGTTACGACCATCTTCTCGAACAGATTAAGTTCGTAAATCAGCAGGAGACCTCAGAGAGGCCTCCAGCAGCGGCGCTAAAGCCCTCAGAGGCCTTGGGCAGTGGCGATGGCGGCGGTGGGGGACCCCTGGAAGGCTTCAGAAAGGTAAGGTTTAACTTTTAATTTAAAAAAATTGCGGAGGGGGGTTTCTTGGGCGGGTTACAGATTACAGGGTTTTCAACGCATTCCTATGGGAAATGCATTTTTGACCTACGGACTTTTCGACCTATGGACACCGTTCCAATACGGATTAATTCCGTAGGTCGAGGGTCTACTGCACATGAAATGGAAGGGGGTGTTGTCGCTTTCCTTGCCT